GGTGTGGGACCCCGCGCGGCGCCTTCCCGCCCTCGGCTGAGGCCTGAGGCGGCTCTGCCCGCCCCGCCGAGCGCCCTCAGAGCCTGCCAATCCCCCTCGATCCCCGCAGAGCCCAGCGGGGCTCCTCATCCTCCCCAGAGCCCCTCAGTGCCCGTCCATCCCTCGGGATCCCGCTAAATCCGACACTCCCCTCCTGGTACTGCTCAGGGCCCCTGTCATCTCTGATCCCACTAAATCCCCCTGTCCCCTCCGCTTGTCGGTCACCCCATCCCCTCAGGTCCTGCTAAATCCTCAGGGCCTGGCTGGATCCTCCTGTCCCCTCAGGCATCACTAAATCCACCCTGACCCATACCCTAAGGATCCCACCAAAGTCCCCTGCCCTCTGAGGGTCCCACTAAATCCTTTCATTCCCTCAGCAGCCAGCCGGGTGACCCCAGCCCTTCTGGATCCCACTAAATCCTCACACCCCTCCATATCTACTTGGGTTCCCTGTCCCCTCAAATCCCATAAATCCTCTCACCCCCTTCAGTGCCTGGTTGTGTCTCCCCATCCCCTCAGATCCCACTGAATTCCCCCTTCCCCACAGCACCTGACTGGGTCCCCCATCCCCTCAGACTCCACTAAATCCCTAATCACACTTGGTGGCCCAGGACTAATCTTCTGCTGCAAGGGAAAGAGCTCAGGGAATTTTGTCAGGGCTGCCCTGAGACCTTTGGTCAGGCACCATGTTCTACCATGTCCATTTGCTCATCAACAAGCGGGGGCCGCTGGCCAAAATCTGGCTGGCTGCCCACTGGGAGAAGAAGCTCACCAAGGCGCATATCTTTGAGTGCAATTTAGAGATCACCATACAAAAAATCCTCTCCCCAAAGGTAGGCTGTGGCATGAGGAGGGATCTCCTGGAGGGTCCTGGGGTGGAGGTGTTGGTCTTTCATAGGGAACTCTATTACTTCTGTGTAATATTTTAACGTTTTTACCAAAATTACTACCTCCTGAATAACTTTTTTTTTAAATTTTAAATCCTCACAGTTTGCTATAGCTCTGCGAACCTCTGGACACTTACTCCTGGGGGTGGTACGGATTTACCACAGGAAAGCAAAGTACCTCTTGGCAGACTGCAGTGAAGCTCTGACCAAAATGAAGACAGCCTTTCGACCAGGTGTATACAAAACCCAGCATTTTTTTCATCTGTGTACTTTACAGCTCTCATTTTAAAAGTTAATTTTTAGATATTTTTGTTAAATATACACTACTGACCCCAAAGGAAACTGAACATACTAGCACCTACCACTGGTGTTTATTCTGGCTTAATTTAGTGCCATTTCAGGTCTTTGATTCCCTTAACAGAAGGAGTATCTTAAGTGGGCTTACAAGATGATGCTTGAGTTCAGCCTCCTTTGCTAGATAATTAATTTTAATTTCTGATGACACCAACAACATGTCTAACAGTGTCAGTGCCAGACCTGACAGCGTGTTTTGAGCTCTAGCCATGTAGACAGGGAGAAGGGAGCTGAGATGACTGGAGCTTTTTCCAACAGGCTCTGTTTGTCATACTTGGGCAATAAATGGGAGGCACTGTTGTCTAAAAAAAGCCTAACACCAGTGTCTACTGCCAGTTTTAATGTGCTTTGTGACCTGGTCTGTTTGTAAAATAGTGAATAATTAGTCTGCATTATTCTCAAGGACATGATCACAGAACTATAGAATCACAGAACCATTTAGGCTGGAAAAGCCCTCCAAAACCCAGTCCAACTGTTCACCCAGCATTGCCAAGGCCACCACTAAGCTGTGTCCCCAACTACCACGTGTCTTTCAAATCCCTCCAGGGATGGTGACACCAGTACTACCCTGTGCCAGGGCTTGAAAACCTTTTCAATGAAGAAATTTTTCTTAATATCCAGCTGAAATCCTGTGGCCACAGCTTGTGGCTATTTTGGGGATAGATCCTGTAGCAACTTGGAGGGCACCACACAACTCAAGAACGTACAACAGTCACCACTGCAGCAACAGAGACTTTACCTAAACAGAAGGGGGGAGAAAAATCTCAGCAGAAATGGTAAAATGCTGAAAGAGGCTGTCCAGGAATGCTGTGAAATCAACAGAAACAGAAATAGACAAAAGTGATCTGACTTTGAAATTAACCCTGTTCTGAGCAAAAGGTTGGGTTGGATGACCTTGAGAAATCCCTCCACACATGAATTTTTCCAGGATCCTCTGATTCCCAAGTAACTGGAGTCTGAGTACATAATTATTTGATGCTGGAGAACAGTGTTGTGGAGACAGAGCAGAGGAAAGGAAAACAGAGTGGTTCATTTGCAGTGCTGTGAAAGACTCTGGGCTAAACATCAGCTGGGAGAACCTTCCAGGGACTTAAAGCAGCTGTTCACCAACACAAGTACTTACATATTTCGGGTCCTGTTGCAGCAGACTCTTTTGTATCTGTCTGTAAAAAATAGATCATCTTAAGGGCATAGAAACTGAAATTCCACTTTTGGGTGCCTAGGCTTTACCTTTCTGTGATTTAGAATGGTAGCAGCCCCTCCTGACAGGTTTATAGGCTTATTATACCTACTTGGGAGAGAACACTACTTTTATTGATACTTATTTTGTTACGTTGTCTGTTTATTTCAGGCCTTCTTGACCTTCCAGAAGAGAACTTTGAGGCTGCTTATCAGTCCATTACATTACCTGAAGTATTTCATGATTTTGAAGCACCACTACCAGATGTAAAGTAAATGCTTCCCTGGTTTTTATTCATTCCTTTAGTATTTTCAGAAGTAAAAGCTATACTTGCTGTTATCTGATTGAGACTCACATTGGGTTGTTTCAATTTAATAACTGAATTCTCCTAAATTCTGAGCTCTACAAGGCTACAGTGTTGTGCTTTGGTAGTTTTCCTCAGTCCTTTAATCAACAGACCTTCACAATGAAATAATGTCTTGAACTTAGACTTCAGGATTTTAAATTGTCTGGGTGAAGGATGCAAACAGCTTTCTGAACCTCGAGAGAAGAGATAAAAATTAGTATTAATCCTGAAAGATGTGGCCAGTAACCACACAGTGTTGCACTGTTCCAGTGGGTAACTTCATTTTGTTTCTGCTCCACTGCTCTCTGGGGCTGGGGTGTTTTATCAGCAATAGTCAGCCTGGCTCCTGAGAAAAAAGCCAGCATATTTCATAGGCTTTTTTGACACAAAGCAGCATTAATGTAGAAAATTGGTAAAAAGCAGGAGGCTAAGTTGTATTTCTGATGGCTCTGATGCCCCAGAGGTCCAGGACAAGAGATTTCCACCAAGGGTTGCTCAGTTTGATGGCATCAGTAAGGGTTTATCATTTTGTAAGTACAGCTGCAATATAATACACTTTATTCAAGTGCCTCAACGTACTGACTCTGTAAAGGTGCCTTTTCTGCCTGCCCTAAGAGTTGTGCCATTTGGTTTAAAAGATGTTTCACTAATTAGTTGCCTTCTGAGAAGGGCCTGGTAGATACCAGGCCTTGGATGGGAGCAAAATCACAAAAGCCTAAGTTTACTGGCAAAAGAGAGTGGAGAAATATGGGGGTTTGTGATAAAATGCCAGGATTGAAAGCTGTTTAGAAACAAGTTTTCACATTCCAGCTGAACGCTAAATGGGTTTCAGTTCACCCTATATTTTTATAATATTTTTTTCATCAGGGCCATTGATGTTGCTGAACATTTTACCTTGAATCAGAGCAGAGCTGAAGAAATCACACTTACAGAGGATTATGAAAGCAGTATACTTCTCTGTGATAGAAACTTTGGTGAGAGAAGTGGAGAAATTGGAAGTATTTCATAAGGGGAAGTGTGTTTTATATGAAAATTTTATGTGAGCCCTTTCCACGTGTGAAAAAGCTGTCATTAAAGGTGCATTTGTTTCATGCTTTTGCTGATTGGCATATCATGCTGTCTGAGGTTTAAAATTTTGTGTAAGCAATATAATCTGGCGTCAGAGACTGAGAACCAAACCAAACATTTCCTGCTTTTACTAGATCAGATAACATTGTTTATTGTTTATTTCATTTGAGGTATGGATGTCTTGCAATCTTTTAAAAATTACTAGAAAAATTAGGAAATTATTAAATCTGGCTTTCCAAAACTCACACAGATGAGGGATCAGGAATTGTGTGTTTCCTCAGATGAAGAAGCAGATGTACTGAGGAGACAGAGCTTCTTTGAGGGCAGTGTCCTGACAAGCAGTAACAGTCTGGTGGCTGATCCCAACTCAGCCAGCACCAGCGGAGACAAATCTGTGCTGCATGAAGATGTTTACTGCTTCCAGGATGACCGTTTTGGGGATGAGGACGATGCTGCAGATATGATTGGTAGGATTTGCCATGGGCAAACAGAATCTGTTCCTTTCCAAATATTTTTATTCTTACAGGAAAACAGTCAAGACAGCACCAAAGTGCTTGTTGTCAAAAATAAATTCTATGTTGTTTGTTTATTTCATACATATTTTTTTTCCTATCTGTCACTAAATCTATGATCACTTAGACACTGCCAAGTCAAATTGGCTTAAAGGCTGTATTTCATTATTTTAGAATTAAAGGCATTAAATTTATGCTTAATGTTTAACAATTTAATTTCTGTTTTCAAAGGTGAAATAGTGCAGCATTTTTATCCTTACTGTTGTAATAACAAAGGCAGCAAAATAGCTTCTACATCATTATGGCTTAGAGTATTTATGTAAACCTTAGAGACTGATACCTGTTAACACTGTCAAGGCCATCATTTTCAAAAACAAAGTTGGAAATCTCAAACCTGGGACTAATCCCCTCCTTTGTGTGCTGTTGCAGAGAGTCGTATCACTGATGGCCATCTGCAGAAGCTGAGCTTTATTTCTTTGCAGAGTGTTAACCTTGACTAACATTAGGCTGTATCAGGCTATTTCATGACTACTAAGGCTTAGAATGATTAAAACTATGTGTTTTGTATTTAAGAAATCCTGTTGAGGGATGAGCAAAATGTCCTAGATGAAGACATTCTTGATGCGGAGGAAGCACATCCTTTGTCACAAGATCTGCCAGAGACCAGCACAGCCAGTGAGTTTGCAGCATCTGCTCCGTCTCACATAAGCCCTCTGTTCCTGTGTTAATTCCCATCACTCACATTCAGCTTTTTGTAGTAACTTTGTGCTTTTTTCCTTTCTTCTTTTATTTTGAGCTTTTTTTTTTTTTTTCCTAAACTGCTTCATCCACCATTTTAGGATAATTGTATTTGATTTAGGGGTTCCAAATTTGTAACTTGACATTGCTTAGAAACACCTTCATGTGACATCCTGTTGGATATGCTGTTGGTCCACCCTGCTGCTCACAGCGTGATGTCCCTTTTGAAAGGGAAAGAAACCTAAATAAGGCTGTCCTGTAACAGTGTACTTTCCTAGTGAGAGCTTAAAAGGTCTTTTCCAAGAGAAACAATTCCATGCTTCTATTTCTGGCTTCATATTTCTGCAATGTATAACACTTAAGTAGATCATAAAAGTGTTGTTAATCTTCTTTTGGTTTGATGTTGATGAAAGAAATTAAGCTTTGATAACTATTCCTGAGACATTTTGGTATCTTAAATCCTTGTTCCCCCATCAGAGTGTTAGTTTAAAGCAGAATTCTGCAATGGCTTTAATAGGATAGAGTGGCTCTCCTTGATCTGTTGCTGGTGCTACTCATTCCTTTTCTGTTGGGAGAAATGTCCACACTGCCATGAACATGCCTGGAACTGGAAACAGAGAGGGATTGAAGCTAAACACCTTTGCCCCTAAACACTTTCTGTTGTGTGGGTTTTTCTCCAGATTGGTTCTTCTGTCTCTGCTATGGCCTGGTCATTCTGGGGTCAGTGAAGGGAAGTGTGCAGGGCAGAGCACAAGAAGGAACTGGGGAACATAAGTGAGATTATAAACAAAACCGCAGTTTCCTATTTCTCACTGTTTCTGTTTGGTATCATTCTCTGTCACGTGACTGAGAAATCAGTCCATATTGTAATTTTGTTGTTTTTTTAATTTAGATTTCTTGGGTTTTCTTGCAGTTGAGTCCAACTGTGCAGACACCACCGTAAAGGATGTAAATCATACAATGAGTGAGACAACCCTTTTGTTCCAGGACGAAGGATTTCTGCTTGAGCCAGTTGATGATACAGGTCAGAAGTTGATCAGTTTCTAATGAATGTTTGCATTTACTAGGTTTGGTTTGCTTCTTAGTAGTGAAAATACTTGCAATTTAGATTATTTCTACCTTAGATTTCATCTGCTCCTGCTGTCAGAGTTCCATTTTACAGTAAATATTATACAAACCCAGTGTCAGGTTATTTATCTCAGCTGCCCAAATCTCTGCTCGCAGTTTCTTCCATGTACTAAGTCAAGTTTTGTTTCTCTTCAGCTCCGGTAGCATTGCAAGCTTGGCCTTGGGGGTAGTACTGAAGATTCACCTGGAAAACTTTAATTGCCAGTGACACACTGGTGACTTGTATATTTAAAATCACAATCCTAAAACTTTCAAGCCTTTGGAAAACATTGGTTTGTGAACTTTTAACAAGATCCAAGGTGAAAAGTATTATATTTCCTCTGTAGAGGAAATCTGAATGTCCCCTATCATCTTGGTGGCTGTTTATGGATAAACAAGCTCATGTTGACAGCAATATTTACAATATTGGAATTTTTTGGCCTGCCCAAATAATATCCAGGAAGTTATGGGTGTATAACTAATCTGTGTCTTTCTTTTGTGTTTACATCTTGAATAAATTGCTAAATGATTAAACCAAAAAATACAGATATTAATTATGAGGAAATGAAACCTCTTGAGTACATCAGCATTTCCTGGAGCATTTAATTTCCTGATAGATTAAAGACAGCTTACTCAGTCTTGTTGCTCTAGCATGTGTTCTCATGAAGTTCTCCCGGTCCTGGTTCTTTATTAGAAGAGTCATTTGTCTTCCACCATCAAACATAAGGGAATTTCCAGTTAAAGAGTACAAAGAGTGAAAACTTCATAGAAACTTTTGAAGGAATGGCCTGTGCACTTGTACTTTGATTTTCAGCTCTAGGCAGTGTTCAGAAGGTTGGCAACCAGGTTGATTCACTGTGCTTTTTTTCTGTGCTTAATGTCTTAGGAATAGACCTTAAGACTTGTTATTAATATTTACTTTATGTAGCTGTCACCCAGAGGAAAAAAAAACAAAGAAAGAGGAAGCTTATGGTGGATGCAGAGAATGAGCTCAGCTGCCACACCATTTACAAGCAGCTCAATGACTGCACAGACCTCCTGACCACGCTGGACCTTGCTCCCCCAACCAAGAAAGCAATGATGTGGAAGGAGTGGGGAGCTGTGGATAAACTCCTGTTCCATGCTTCACAGCCTGATATTCATGCTCAGCTGCAAAAGGTAAAGATTGGTTCCTTGTGGGATCTGTGCCACTGTGTAGGTTCCAGGATTGTTGCAGAGCTGGGATCTGACTGAGACAGGTTTTGCAGACTGTTTAATCCAAACTTGGAGCTGGCTGCAGGTGTGCACTGAGCATTGCTTTGCAGTACAGGCCAGCTGCACACCTGATGGTTTGCACAGTCACCACTAATTGTTTCATCACCTGTGGGGTCACAGCCTTAACCTCCTGCACTCCAACAAGTGAAACATTACAAAAGGAACGTGAGAGCTGATGTTTCATTTCACACACTGGCGCCTGAGTGGTCTTATACTGAGAGTCAACTTTTTACTTTCTGACAATTTCTTTTATACTTTCTCCTTTGTTGTATTGTTTTCTGGTGTATTTCCTCTTTGTAATCAATTTGAGACATCTTTTGTTTATATTTACTTTAAAAGTACATCAGGCATTATTATTAGAATATTGTAATGGATTTGGAAGGGCTCACTGCAGCAGCGCAGCTTCACCACTTAGAGTCCAGCTGCAGAATTACAACTTGATCTTTAAGAGGATGAAAACTGCAGATGTTTCTTTCTTTCATCATTCCTTACTGGCTGGTTTCAAGAAAAATCATCCAAGCTTCTCCTAAGATGTTTTTTTCATGGAATTCATGTTGGAGCTGCAGAATGCTATTACTTAAAAACAAAAACAAAAAAAAAATTGCAGATTTTCAGAGTGACCTAATTCAAATACTGAAATTCTGGGTTGCAGTCATTAACATACAGTTCATATTCATATCTTTGTGTTGATGTTTGCAAATAATCTGACATGATATTCTGAAAGCAAACATAGAAAAAATAATTATTTTCAGTTGTTTGAAAAAAGCTTCAAGGCTGACAGATTCAAGATGAGAGCAAATGGAATACAGAGGACGTCTGAAATGAAAGAAATGAGAAAAGAGCAAGATACTACAGGTAATATTTTAATTCTGTTGTGCAGAATTAGCTGTTAGAAAGTATTTTCTATTCTGCATAATGTTTGAGAGACATAAGAGGTGTTTGTGTGCAGTATTCCACAAATTACTACTTTGTTGTTCTTTTGTTTCTTAGAAATTAAATTAAATCCAAGTCTTTTCTTCCTTGTGGCATAAAGAGATGTTTTTGGTTTCATCTCTGGTTTCTCTAATTATCTCTGAGACTGCAAATTTGGGTAATGTTGCTTGTGGATTATTTTTAAAATATCATTTAAAAAAAAAAAAGCTTCCTTCTTATTCTAAGCCTAATCAAACTGCTCTCCAAAATTCCAAATTAAATAGTAAATAGTTCTACTTGTATCTGGAAGATGTGTGTGGTTAATATCAGACAAGAAGAAATGTCCCATGTTAGATCTGAGAAGGATGTATCCACTCCTTTGCTCTGCTGGGAACCAAACCTGCCTCAAAAATTAATTAACAAACCCACCTCCTGTGAGTCCGTAAAGGTCAACTTTCAGAAAAGGAAAACCTGCCTTGGGAAGTTCTTGTTCCATGCTTGTGTAGGGAATGATGTTTCTTCAATACTTGCTTATTGTGGCTTTTCCTCTCAGAGACTGTGAACTTGGATGTGATTTTTGGTTTTCAGTGGGTTTTTTTTAAGGCCAGTGATTCATGGTAATTGCCTCTTCAACCTTGGTTTTCTATTAATACAGAGATGCTGCCAGTAGAAGAGCCAAGTTACCTGCAGGAACCAGCTCATTCTGAGACTGAGAGAAAAATTAGAAATGATTCCTTTATGTTGACATCACAGAGTGACAGAAATGAAACCAATGAGAACTGTGGTGAAATTATAGTGAGCAGTTTTCCTCAGTTTTAAAGACCTAAGTGTGTCTATTGGTTCCACTTTTTGCTAAGGTTCCATTTAAAACATATTAAGAAATTACTAATGTTTGGAAAGGATGCTAAAACCAGTTAAGAGAGCATTAAGTAGCTTGTGTGATGAAATCGTATTTATTACTTGGTAAACTCCCACAATGAATGAATGATTAATTAAAATGTTTATTAATCAGCATAGATTACAGTTTAATCACTAAGTATAAATGAGAGCTTAATATTAAATATTAAATATTGTACTGAAGAGACAAATATAATTTTTATAAAGGATAAAACTTACATTTTGTGTCTCATATTGAGGAAATACTTAAGCAATATCTATTCCATCTTCACTTATGCTAAAGTGCTTTCTTTAGAGAATATGAGGCTCATTAATGTTGAAAAGTTATGAAACTGAGCTCATGGCAGCAGAAAGCATGTGCTCCATGCCTCAACTCTGCCCATAGGTGTAGATTCAGCTGTAGGATAAATCCTACAGCAAGGTCCTTGCTTAATGTTGATGAAAGAAATTAAGCTTAAGGAAAGACATTGGTAGAAATAGCAGCTATTAACTAATTTTGAAAAACTTAATTACAATAAATTCATTGAGCAGAACTGTGTAATGAGAATTGCACTGTGTGCATAAATGGTCAGGCCTAGTGATTGTCTTTTTTGTGCTCACAGGAGAATGGAGCAGCTTTTTCTGAGAGCTCAAAAAATTCCCTGGGCCAGGAAGATGAAGCACAGCAGGTGGAGGTGCCAAAGGTGTGTGTCCTAAGCTGATGGCCCTGGCTTGTTTCAGAAGAGAACTCTGTTTCTTTAAAAAAAAAAAAAGGAAAAAAAATAGCATCATGAACTTACAGGGAGTTTTGCTTCCTGTGAGAAGGAAATAATTTCAACCTTGCTGGCTCTGAGGATGCTCAGGTACTCTGAAACCAGAGCAGTCAGCTGCATACTTCAGAGGTTAAGTCCAAAATCCCAAGCCAAATATTTGAACATCTCTTTAAGCCCCTGGCCAATACAAATCCTGTCAGAATCCCAGTCCCACAGGGCAGTTCCTGTCTGTGGAGCTGCCTCACTGGGACCATGGCCAGTTGCACCTGAGCTGTCTCTGTAGCACAAAGCACCCAGGTCCCAGTCTTTCTTTCCTTTGTTTCACACAACCTTGTATGAGCACAGAGGTGTCAGAGGTTCCAGATTCCCTGAGTTTGGCCATCCAGATGCCTAGCTCCAGCTGGATTTTCACTCAGGCTGGAACTCCTGTCCTTTTTCTCATGGTGTGTGACCTTTTACACGCCCTGACTGAGCTTCTGTTTCCTTCCTCTCAAGGAGCAAACAAGGACCAGGAAAGACAATGAAGAAATAAGATGGGGCAAAAGAACTCTTCGGTTACAAAAAACTTTACAGGTACCAGTGCTGATTTTGTTAATAGATACCAAAAGCTGGTGTTGATTTCAGCTGGACCATGTTAGAAAAGCTCTTCCTTCTACTGTCCATTTGTGCCTCTGCCTCTCACTTGCAGCATGTGCTTTTTTTTTGTATTTATGTGGAAAATCTGGATTCTGGGTGCTTGATGTGTGGTGTTCCTTTCCACAGCTGCTGGAATGATGAGAATTTTCTGAATGCTCTTCTTTTTTTGAGCATATTTCAAATGTTCTGTGCAAATAATAAATAAATATTTACACCTGAGTACAGCCTTTAAAAAACAAGAGATACCTCTAAAACCAAACAATTGCTCAAGGATATTTATTGTTATCAATCACAAAGCATGATGGAAGCACTCCAGCACTGTAATGGAATTTGATGGAATTGTAGATTTTAGTAACACATGTAAGTACCAACACTATTATGGCATTAAAATGTTAAGAGCCACTTCTATAAACACAGATGGAAGACAGCCAGAGAGGTTGTGGACTCCCTGTCCCTGGAAGTGTTCAAGTCCAGGTTGGATGGGTCTTTGAACAACCTTGTCTAGTTGAAGGTATCCAGGGTGGGGGAATGAGATGGTCTTTAAGGTCCCTTCCAACCCAAACCAGTGTGTGCTTCCATGATTCCATGGAGATTGGATCCCATCTGAGGCATTCAGGCAGAGATATTCCCTCTATGCAGTGCTCTCTGTTTGGACTCCATTGGCTCCAGTTTTACTGGTGGAGAAACTGACCTGACTGATTTCTCATTTCCCTCACGCAGCAACTGAAGAGATCAGGTGTGTGTTCCTTCAGTTTCCGGGAGCTCTGCCAGAGAAACAACCGGAAAGAAGCTGCAGCCACGTTTTACCTCTTTCTGGTGCTGAAGAAGCAGCAGGTCCTTGAGCTGCAGCAGCATGAGCCCTTCGCTGACCTCACAGCCACTGCTGGACCCATGTTTAACAAGATCAGATAAACTGATCAAAATACAGCTTAGATTGCATTTTCCAGCATGGTTTTCCTGGAAAAAGGATGGAATGTCTTGTCAAACTGTGGGAGATGAGCAGAGCTCCCAGTCCTCTACAGTATCCAGTAATGGCTTGTGAAGGGGTCCTGCCCCAGGTGATCAATACAGGGCTTATTATTAATGTTTACAGTTATTTACAGTATATATAGTATAGTAAATATAGATATTTATAGTATAATTATAGTTATTTATAGTATTATTAATACTATAATTACATGATGAGTTATACAATACATTAATAAAATACCCCTAAAATATATATTCTACATAAGAGATTTACATTGTAAAAGAATTTTATAAAAATCCTCAAAGGAATTTTATAAATGTCCTTGAAGGGTTTTTATAAAAGTCCTTCAAAACCTTTCTCAGAGACTACCTTTGGAACTTAAATTACTTTTGACGAGGCTTGTGTCTGTTAATTATTGAATACCATCAGTAAGAGTTATCTGTTTACTCTCTGTAGCAAAAAAAACTTAGACTATTTAAAATTGTTCCTGTCAAAGAATGTTCAGTATTTCATGTTTTAAGATCTGGCAGGGTATTGTCTTCAGTGTTGCTTTTATGTGTTCAGACAGACAGAGGTTACACTGGCCCTAGAAGAGCCCAGAAGCTGCAACAAGAAATTCTATTTCATAAAAATCCTGCAACTTCAGATTTCACAGAGCTTTTTAACTTATTAACACCTTTATTCATGTGTAGACCTATTTAAAAATGGATGTTAACTGAAATATTATTAATTCCTTGCATTTTTATCTAATTTAGGATCAATTTTATCCCTTTTACTGTCATTTTCTGAAGCTCTAGTCTTCTGGCAGCCTCCCACCTGGAGGAGGGATGGTTGTGCCCCACTCAGGTGCTTTGATGCTGTGGGGACATCACTTTTCCTTCATGTGGAGTCAATAAAAATCAGATGTTTCCTTTGCTTGTTGGTGTTTCTTCTGAAGGATCAAATCCTGTGGGTACATCTTTGGAGTCAGGGACTTGGTGATTTTACTTAAAATGGGAAAGGATGGGTGCTACTGCCACCTGATTTCCAGGTGTTCACTCACCTCAGTGACACCCCTGTTTCTCTGGAGCCACTAACGCTTGTGGTTCCTGTCCCACAGGATTCGGGGAGGTTTGGTTTTGAGGGTCTGTTTAAGGGAGTAAAAAGGCTTTAAAAGAGGTGAAGTCCCAGCATGGGGCAGGGGATGGCATGGGGTGGCTGTGGGGGTGTTCCAGCTGAATGTCCTTTCTGAGCAGGAATATTTGATTAAATAAGTAATGGGCCTTTGCTGCTGTTCTCTGAGGGGTTCCTTTTCTGGATGTAAGGAAGCGAAAAGCATCCCTGTATGGTAAAAACCTCTCTGTTTTCTGTAAAAGAAAGGCTATTTTTGGGTGGGAACAGGAGCGTGGCTCAGGCCGAGACTGGAACCAAGGGCAGCTCATCTTTTCCTTATGGCAGGTCTGGCATTTCCAAAGCCAGGTGCTGACCTGGGAAAAGGGTTTGGGTTCGGTGCAAACCTCTCCCAGCAGCAGGCCCCATCTCCCTGCAGGAGATCTCAGGTCAGAGTATCCTGGGAGACCAAGCACTGCAGACTGCAGAGGGAAGGAGAAACCATTTTTCTTTCCCAAAAGCCATCAGGAATGACTCTGCATCTCGCAGCAGAGCTTCTGCCTGTGCCACATGGTCAGAGCTGCTCCAGTGGCAGCAGATGTGATAACTCATTAATTTTCCTTTCAAGGAGAGAGGCTGTGCATTGGATTCACCGGGAAAGAAGGAAACAAAAGGCAGCTGGAGGCGGGCAGGAATAAATGGGAGGCAGGATATATATATACACACTGAAAACAGTCTGTGTGTCGGGATAAATGAGGTACAAATCATGCAGGAAATAGCGCTGCAAGACTGACATGTATTTACCAAACAGGTTTGTCAAAACTCTGGATTAACCATGGGGGAGTGACAAAGGGAGCTGGGAATGTCTGGGAAGCACAATGGGCCCCGGGTCCAGACCCAACCTGGGTGCAGGTTCTGCTCTGTGAATATTTTCCACATTAACATTTCCCTCCGTAAGGCTGTATGTGGATCCATACACGCTGGATGTTCAGTTTGCAGCACAGGCACATGTGCATCTCTCACGCTCCCGGTCCCCACGGGGGTGTCCGCAGCCGACCTTGGGCGCTCCCGGCCGCGGGCACGGAGCGCTCCAGGAGCCGGTGCCCTGCTGCTCCCCGCACAGGCTGCAGGACGCGGCGCGGGGGCTCCAGAGACGTTTCCTCAGCAAATAATTTGGGAAGGTTGATCTTGACAGTTACAGCAGGAAGCGTGTGGGAAGTGCCATGAGTAACCGGGCTGTGCTGGAGAACGGGACGTGCCGTGCCAGCCTTCAGCCTCATCTCCCAAACCTCCCGGACGCCAGTCACAGCCCGGGACAGCAGCTTGGGGTGCCCGTTCCTGCTTCTCCACCCCAGCCCAGGCGATTAGGGCTGAGCCACAGGGATTGAAATGGGGCACAGAATTCCGGTTATTTAATGACTTGACTTTATGAAAGTGCGTCACTAATTAGAGGCAGGGATCTCCTCAGAGCTGGACTGCTTAAAATTAAAACTACGACGCTGGGGGGACTCCAAGGGCCGGGTGGCTGCAGCGCGGGGCCGCCCCGGCTCCCCCTCCCCTTCCTCCTCCTCCTCCTCCGAGGTTACGCCGGGCGAGGAGCCCAGGGC